ACGCGTGCTTCTTGAGCAACAGTCAACACTAGCTAACTCAGAGGACAGCTGGCCAGCATTTCTGCTACACAACGTACCTGGTTTGAGGAAGTCCAATAGATGAGGGATGATTGAGTAATACAGCGACCAATAATCGCTAAATCATGACATCATATCATAACATAACATAACATAGGACGACAGCAAACACACAATAAACGAGCAGTAATAAACAACGTTCGCTTAATGGACTGACATATTTCAGCATATTTTTCACTGCCAAAGCGCTGATAACAGCAAGCCTTACCCCACTCCGCGCGGCTTTTTAATGCACTAAATCTTAAAAATAATTCTCGCGATAAAATGTTCATCGTCACGCTTGAAAATTTCTAGAAATTAGAATAGCCGTATATTATAACAAACTATAGCAAGCAGAATTAAAAGATAAAAGGTTCTGGGACTTGAGTGGTACAAATAAAATGAAAAGCATGCTAATCATGCTCACGTACTGTAATGTGTCGAGAGTTTTTTTTTAATTTTTACTATTTGACAAAATAATTGATCTTTTTAGTGTGAGTGTGATTTCAACTTTGAGTTTGAAAATATTTTGAAACGACTTTCGATATTATTGATTATTATATTTAATAAACTGTCTCAAAGCCCTTAGAGGTGGCTCTATACGGGTCTTTACAACAACAACATTTGCTATTTCCGCTATTACCACCATATTATGACGATTACAGATTAACCCTGACATTCTCCGAAATAATGGCGAATCGTGATGACAACCTTGTACGGCTTTGTGTGCATCCTCTTCGTCGAAGAGAATGTCCAGTGGGATCTTCTAATTTCACTAATATTTGTCAAGCCTTTGTAATCGATTATATCATTGATTCTAATTCCTCGAATTGACCACGTACTTGCGGCTGTTCATTAAGTTATGACTTGCTTCAAAATCTCGCTCGGTCTTCTCGACGATTTAGTTGCTTTCAAATTCAGATTGAAAGCTTTCATTATCTAATGACCGTGATTTACCTAATGATTACAAAAAAATTAATAATGTGGTTTTAGTATCGTAATTATTAATCCAAATAAAGTTTCAAAATTTATGCTTCAACTTTTAAAGATGTCATGATTAATCGTTCATGATACGTTTTTTGTCAACAATAACTAGGAGTAACAAGTGAAATTATAAGTTTCAGCTTAATTACGGTAACATTTCCTGATCCAATTTGTATGCTGAAGATTGTATGCTACACTTTAAATTGGGAAACAGTCTTTAGTTTTACTTGATACCTTTTTACTTGCAAGAATTTAAATAATGGTACGGCGCTTTTATTGGCTTCTAGTCTACTGATAAGGTGGCGCCTTGACCCCGCCTATTAGTATTAACGTATTAACATATCACATATCGTTATAATTATATGCACTGCAGATATATTGGAATAGGGTGTATTAAATTGGATATCGAGGCGCCCATACTTCAATTTGGACGGTATCATAAAATTTCCTTAATTTTTACTCTTATCTTTGTACAATTAGGGTAATTTGATTTCAAATTATCGATCGGCTTTGAAATATCTCAATATCTACTCACATGTTTAAGTTGTCGTTAGTTTTACTTATTATACCTCTTAGAATAAATTTTACTCTAATTTGTTCATGACGTCTTTATATAAGTTTTACATATTTAATAGCTTAACAGTAACAATAAACATCGAGATACTTTTTTATTTTGTTTTAACCTAAATTCACGTAAGAATTGTCACTCATTAGTAATTATTTATTGGTTCAACTTCACTGGATGTAATACAGTTAGACTTTGTCCGATATATGACATCTTGGCGCTATCCGTTGGTGTGATCCGCTAAATGAGCACAACAGATTTAACCAAACGTTGACGTTCATATTGTTTACTTTATTGTGTTTAATCATTTAATTTAAACATGTCCAATGTCCATTCACTGAACATCGAATCGTTGAAATCTAATCGCTTTTTTTGTTCGTACGTGCCAATAAGCATGTGGATTGTGGAATTGTGGTCTACCACATACCAGATATAATCGCTTCTCATTGTCGCAAAATTCCCTTCACTGTTCACGGTTGTTTGTTCTTAAATACAAAGACGCACAGCCACAACAACAATACAAACATTTGATTCATGATGTCATTGTCAATCCTTCGCAGCTCGGTGCTCCGGTGCGGCCCAGTAGTCAGTGACAGTAGTGCTGTAGTGCATTGCGCTACAATACAAACATTTATTACTTCCACACAATTTCATCCACAGTTGTTTTGTTCGTATTAATAAGATCCAGCCATACTATTACTATCAGTTAAAAGACAAATTAGCGATTGCAAAAAAGCTTCTTCGACTGGCAAAACCGCAACATGACATCATCAGTCATACTATGCAGACTGATGAATGATGATGTAATAGTAATAGTAATAAAACTAATGCTACGGTTTTGCCAGCCGAAGAATCTTTTTTGCAATCTCTAATTTTTCGAACGTACAAATTTTCCACGAAGAAATGAAGAGCGATTAAGAAAGAAAATTTAAATACATATAGAGAAAAGGGTTACCATTTAGAGTGTGCTAATTGTACAATAATTAGAACGTCATGCTTCGAATAATCACTTTATGTAAAAACAATTTGTTTTCTCTAAATATTCTCTGCCGGTACCACTTATAGTTATAACGACCTTTTCATTAAGATTTCTCAATCTCATTCTCTAGAAAACTTCGTTTGTCAATCAATATCAATATCATTGAAGCTTGTAATACTAATAAGATCTTTTATTAACATATCAATGAAGACCACCAACGTTTTATTAAACGGAAGTCAAATGAAGTGGAACTAAGGCTAATTGAAATCCCTAACATCTTTGATGATAGTTTTCAGTTTTGCTCTTTTTTTCATTTTCATGTTTTACTTTTAGTACGCATGCTGCAGTTTGAAGAGCTGATATTTGACTTATTGTGCAGGAGGAGGGGGCATATCACCACAAATATTTTAGTCAATCTTTTTTTGGATTAAGATTTCAGGTTATATAACTAGCTCTTATAGTTAGAGGTATGATGTGTAATTGAGGCCCGTTTTTTCTTTTTTTTTAAATATTCCGATTTTGCAGCAAAATGTACAATACTCTGCCGTTTTCAGCGTTCGGCCGACGCGAAAAATAAGATATCCGCGGGTTGGCGGTATTAAAGTCTACCCTATAAGGAGGCACCAAAAACTGCAAGGGGGCAGGAGCTAGGGTGCACCAAAAAGCAGGGCACAGAAAAAAAGGTCAACCAAAAATTTGGGAGGGGTGCCAAAATAATGCCAAGAATCAAGATACGCCAACATCACCGATCAGGTGACGCTTACACACCATGAAGGTGACGGTTACACACCACACCCAGTACATCATGTGTACTTCCTGTTTACACCAATATAGCCACCACACTTCATGATACGATTAATTTGAGTAAACCCATTAAATAATCAAGTTGTACTGTGTACACACACATGGATGCCACCTCATTTCCACCTATAACTATACCAGTCATTGACGGCCATCCTGACTGAAATTGCTCACTTTTGAGGTGATATCGGATTCTCACTCCGTTTACCGTTATTAATTTTTATATAGGGTGTATATAGTCATTAGTACTACTAATGACTAATAGTAGCCCACGTACCTACCGCAGTGTATAAATACAGTGTGGTATGTGTGCGTGTCACTTTCGACTCCTTATAAGCCGTGATGTTGCATGCCATTTCGCGGTTTCGTTGTACGTGACGTGCTCTGAATGGTCTCTCCACTCGTAGCCGTATACACACTCGGATAATGGATATCTAGTGCACAATTGTATATAATTGTATACTTGTGTATCTAGATGGGAGAGCTTCTCCTAATTAGATTTTCTATCTGTGTCCTCTGTGTTGCTGTGGTAGGTCTCGTGTGTTGCTGGAAGTCTCGTGTTATTTTTAAGTGTGGGGGACTGGGGGTGGAATGTGGATGTCCGATGTATGATGACTATGAGTTACACTGTTCTGCTTTAGTACGGCTTCAGTTGGGATGTAGGGTCGGTTCGGTAATCGGTTAATTGACCTGTTAAGCGATTAGAGCCGTGCCAAAGAACCGAACCAGCTATAAGGCCAACTTTAACCGTGCCGAACCGGTTAAAGTTGATCAGCGTTAATAGTTTGTGTTTTGTAAACCGTTTTGTGACTGAATTCATTTAAGGGATCATTCAAATATTACGTGAGCAATTTTTGACCATTTAAGACCCCGGCCGCTGATACCTTATAAATTCAGCATGCTTTATCCAGTAGCGAAACGTACCTATGTGTCGACTGTCGCCCCCATGCTAAATTGCCTTGCTAAAACCCCTGTTCTTCCTGTTTATAGTGTTCAAATTAAGCACAATTCTGTAGGCTAAAATGGTATCGACAAACACTAGTTACCACTATCCTTCTGTCGAACAACTTGCCACTTGCTCGGAGACCGGAGTAGCGCTATTAGAGAAGGGGATAATGAGTTTCTACATGTTGAGTCGCTAGAGCTCTAGCCTTTATTATCACAAAATGTATCCCAATCATAATTGTAAATTTCGTCAGCAAGGTCTTAACTTATATATATGTGTCTTAAGACACATATATATAAGTTAAGACCTTGGTCTCCGAGCAAGTGGCAAGTTGTTCGACAGAAGGATAGTGGTCTTAACTTATATATATGTGTCTTTGCATCTGTCGAATGAAAGGTTGACTATAAAGTCTGCTCAAAGCAAGATCAAATTATGATTTATTTGACCAATACAAGTTCTAGATTCTTATTTCTTTCTCTCACTGTAATAGCTTAATAGTAACTGAATGGCGAACTTACACGTCTTTGTTACAGAGGAGAATGGACGACTTGAAGTTGTATTAAACAAATAGGGTATTTTTCAGTCATTCTTTTAGCCGACTTTTCAATCGACCGATGAAGAAACATTTACGTTATCCGTCATTGCCCTACCCACTGCGGCAGCTTTTCTGCAACTATGAACTATGAAATCTGCTCGACAATTTGGGCCTTCCGATGAAACACTCTTTTTTAAAAGTTTGCCGTATTGTTATGAGCAGGTATGCTAATAATTGTTTGTAGGTTGTGTTTTTGGATTATTTTGTTTATAAAGGAGCATTTTTGTGTAGAATTGAGACAAAGCCAGAAATTTCTACACTGTTTATACTGTTGGGCTCTGTTTCCGTCAGCTTGGAGGCGATGGGGAGATTTTGTTAAGTAAGTAACCCCCTGTCAAATTGTTATGTTTGGTTACCTAGTAAATGTTCATTGGTCGTGTTTTGTCGAAAACATGCATTCGCTCCTGGGTATCGTCGGAGATAAAGACTTGCTTAGCCGCTCGACACTGTTCTGTCACAACAAACACAGGTATCTATCAATTCTACGGAAGCCTATACTTCCAAATTTAGTTTACTGCGAAAAAGTACTCGAAGCCTCAAAAGAGAGCAATTTCAGTCAACAAATGTAACATGTTCATAACACTATCAGCTCACCTTTACTTCAAAATGTCGTTAAAGTCTATTTACATCACTCATTCATGCACATTAAATGCTTTCACCATGCATCTGGATATTTACCCCAGTTTCTATTAATAACTGCGGCACTAATAGTAATAACTTTAAAATGCACTAATAATTAACGAAGCTATTATATTTCATTTTACAGCACTTAGTTGTGCGTTGACATTTGTTTATATTCTAAATATCACCTACTATTTTTTCTACTTGATGGTTCTACCAGTACTAGCAGTATTTGCGTCTTGATCTAATATACTGAGAACTTATGAACATACCGTTTAAAGTTCAAGCCCTTTTACACTGAGTGGAGCGGAGACTCTCACTTGTACCCAACAATCAAATTCAAGCCTTTTTACAAGAACTTGACTAATTCCTAGTATTTTTCTGCATTGCAATGAAAAACACGAACGATTTATATAAACAAAATTAGCACAAAACTCAAAACTAACTTGAGCTGTAATTTCCAGCAGGAATGGGCGAAAGACAGTCCCCTATTGATCTAGTCGGAGCTATAAAAGCTACTTTGCCACCACTTAAGATAACATTTGAGAACGGCCCGGATAGAGCTAACTTAGTAGCCATAAACACGGGACAGACGTTGCATATCGATTGTGCGGGACAGATATTAGGAAAACTTACTGGCGGACCGGTAAGTTATTAATTATGTTTAATTGAGAATCTGATGACGAACATTACATTTACATTCTCCGCTTATAATTATACAACTTGAACTACTGATGAAATTTTGTTAAAATGAATGTAAAGATTTGCGAGATTGGTTATATTCTATTAATGGAATAACCATCTAAGTCTTATGCAAACCACGCAGAGATGCGTGACTGTGAGGGATCACGCAGATGAATTTACAGAATCACACGCGCACACATGCACAGCCAACAGCTTAAACTTCACAATGAAATTATGTAACCTTCAGGTGGGTGACAGCAACTACACTCTACAACAATTCCACTTTCACTGGGGAGACAATGCACAGCACGGTTCAGAACATAAAATCGAGGGAGAATTCTCCAGTGCAGAACTCCACTTCGTGTTTAAAAACGAGGTACGGTGGCGGAGATGATAGATTCCCATCATAACTTCAACGACGGTGGTTTAATCGTCAAATATTTGAGAGGCCGTTAATATTGAAACGTTAACTTTCCTGGAGCTCAAATTCGACTGAATTTCATATTTTTTCCAAGTCTAATATGATAATGCAGGAAATATAATCGTCATATCCTACACAACACACCATCATCTCCTACAGAAGTACGGTACAGTAGGCGAAGCCGCAAGCAATGGAGATGGACTAGCTGTAGCTGGTGTAATGATCAAAGAGTCGAAGGCTGCTAAAGATATTGTGCTGCCTGAACTATTCGAGATTGTTCCTCAGTTGAAAAGTTAGTTAATATCAGAATTTGAAATTACAGGCTTTTTGTAACTATTTTTATTATATATTCAGATTTTATTTAATAAGGTTCGGATGTCGAATAATAATTTTCAGCCAGACCTGCTTTTTATACTTTGAGGAAAGATTGTTCTCCCAATTTCACACGATTAATCACCAAATACTGGTATTACTATATCAATGATCATTCCAGCGAACAAAGGTAGCAGTGGACTAAAAGATACGTTGGATCTAGCTTCTGCCCTGCCAGCCAATAGAGCTTACTTTACTTACCTCGGTTCACTTACCACACCACGTAAGTGAAATTTAACTCATCATTTGCTAGAAACTATCCTTTACCTCACCCGCGAAAAGCTGACCGCTTAAAGCACGAAATTACTTAAAGGAAATACACTATTAAAGCTCATAATTCAGAGGCTAACTTTTTATGCTTGTGGTTTAATGTTATAACGCTTGAACAAGGAACTTTACAAGATCCGATTAATGAAATTCAATTTATTCTTTATTTTAGTAATAGATTCATGCCGTGCAAATACGGAAGAGGTCTTTAAAATGACTTTATACATTTATAACTCCGTCTAGAATACAACGAATGTGTCACGTGGATTGTTTATAAAGATGAAGTAGAAGTCAGCTCATGGCACATGAACCAGCTCAGGTTTGTTTTAAGACTGCCGGTTTCTTTTGTGTACCATAACAATCGTGCATCCTTAATTATAATTACAGTCGAGTTTCCGATAAGCTTTTTCTGAATCTACTGAATTTGGTGTTCGAACACGATATTTTGCCCAACTCAAACTTTTCTTGTAAAATGCATTAATTTGACAATTAGCTCCTTAAAGCTAATTATTAAATCCCCACAGAGGAATGAAGGATACGGAGGGTTCAGAGATTCTCAACAACTGGAGAGAAGTGCAAGACATTGCGGGCAGACAGATCAAACTAGTTTCAGAATAGTTGTGTTTCAGTTATTTATTTTATCCAGCCGTGTATTTACAACTCTTTATTAGGTGAAATATTTTAGTTTTTATCTAAACTGTTAGTGATTGTAGAAACTGATACTCATTATTTTTTATCAGCTGTCCAGTGTCCACGAACTATCATAAAAACTAGAGGATTATTTGATTGACCGTTTCGAATTGGGAATAATTTTATGAATTTGTTTGTCTTGAATTGATTATGACTTTCTTGTTTGACAATTTATTTCAACCGGATAGATTTTCTAGATTATAATCTCGAATTATTTACAAATGCGTTATTTACATTTTAATATCAAAGATGGATTATATCGCTGAAAACAATTTGTTTCATTCTCTGAGTATAGAAAACTGATAAATTTCTTTAGAAAAAGAGCTACAAATATTTCTCTGAAAAGTCCGTCTAGGACTAACAAAAAGACTGATCAGCATCACAAAATGGCGCCGGTAAATAAAAACAGTCGGTTGATGTCCGAAAACAGTCCAGTTTCCCAGAGTTCCTGGTATAAATCGTGAGTGAAGAATAGTCCACGCTGGAGACTTGAGAATGTCGTGATATTTTCAGCTCATATCGTTGGTTGACATATTCAGGGCTTTCGCTAATGCTTCTGGGTCACTGTAACAAAAGGTGTTACTATTATTATGATTTTATGGATTTTTAAATCGGATTCTCCTTTTTAATACACCTCGGTAAATGAAGGTTTGCGGTACACGATACTTTTGGTGAAGCTTCAACGTGGTCGATGTATGCATCAATCATCAATACTCCACAGTAGCGATAACGAACAGCGTAAGAATAACTAAAACATTGGGACCTTAATCTAAATGAAATTAGTAGTCGCCTTGAACCAGTAATTATCAACTAATTAATTAATCATTATTAACCTGAAATCTATTTCATCCGTGGTGATTTCTTTCTCGACCTCTTCGGGATGATCGAATTTGGTCTCCACTTCTTCTAAAGGAGTTTTAGTGTCGTATCTCGCCAGAACGCGTCCAATCTGCAGACTGCCCTTTTGTGCTAGCTGATTAAAATGTGTTATTGGAGAGGTTTGAGGATTCCTCCAACTGGCAGAAAAAGATATTTTTGAAAAACTGTACATTTTATAACTTAAATATTTAAAAAATGAAAAATATGCAAAGTTGCGAACCGTTTCTCTCTTCTTGAGTAGCATATCAGACAAACGTTTTCCCACGCCCACCATTGGTTCCATTTTAGCAGCGTCCCCCTAGACAGCATCAAGATTATCAGAAAGTCACTAAAACGTGAAGAAGATATGAACTCTTGCGATGGACTTTGTCGAGTGGAGACTTTCTGATTATGCAATCAACTTAAATTGGACTTACCTTACACCAAGGGTGTTCTAGGGCCTCTGCAACTGTCAGTCTTTCCCCGGGAACTAGTGTTACGAGCTTGCTGATAAAGTCCTGAGAATAATTGTATATGAAATGGTTGGTTTAAACGTATTATTAATATGTTATTCGGCACCTATGTCGAAATATGCATATGGTTCAACCGCCGTGTTTTGGTTTAGCCTAAATAGATCTTACCAATATTTGACATACATTTTTCTCACTCCAGCTGCAGTCTGGTAGTGTTGAGTTACATTCATATTTTCCTAATCTTCATAAATCATATTGTTGCCTCTAACTTACGTACAGGAGGAACGATCTCTAATAACACGCAGAAATAACTTAGTAGAATGCAAACTTACTTGAGCGTTTTTAGAAACTTTGTTGAAGAAAGGTTTGATGAACTCGAAGTCGCAACGTACAACGTTGGAATATGTTCCAGCGTCTCCTTGATTTGGTGATGGGAACGGCTCCAATCCTGACAATCTGAAGAGGTTTAGGTGGTTGTTTTTATTTTGATGAGTAATATTATATATTATATAAATGAATTCAGTAAATTCGCTCCATTACCCAAATATATATCTCGTGTTTGCGCGGCGCATATTGCCATAGAAACCATGCTAATTTTATGTTCGCGACTGCGTTTTACCAGAATAAAATGTTTTCGCGCGTCACGCAAACCAAAGATATTTGGTGGACCGAAACACTAGAATAAACAACAAGCATAGATTTGAATACACGAAGGATATTGATTAAAAACTTACAGTACGTATGTTAGGACACCTATACTCCACACGTCAGATTCTCTTGAAGGAGGAAATCCTCTCAAAATTTCGGGCGCTGAAAAATAATGTTTGTGAAAATAATCCTCATTTGGAGTAAAACCTACTCCCAGGTTTATCAAACCCATCTACAGAAACAAAAATCAGATACGAAGTTTAGTTTCACCAACAAGTACTTACCAACATAAGAAGGGTTCCCGCAAACTCCGTTCATTAGTACACCATGTGACATGAGACTGGACATGTAGAAATCTGCGAGAACTGTTGGAGCATATTCCTTGCTATTCCCACTGAGCACATTCTCCGGCTGAGGGAAGTGGAAAACTTGTAAAAATGGGCATAATTAGGTGAAACACGTGACGGTAATTGCTGTATTTTGATGGATGATGTTTTCAAATAATGAGCTGGCTTGCAAGAAAACTCTAGCTCTTTTACTTCAACTCCGTAACCACATTTTTACCGTGGCAACTGTAACTTTACAAAGGTCGAAAAGAAAGACAGTAATAAAACCCCGCCTATATCTGATATCAACCACACTGAATGACTGCATACTCGCTCCGACTAACGTTCAAGATTAGAGTAAACCAATTAGATGCTTGAAGAACCGTAGTCACGTGTCAAATTGGTCCTCCGCCCTCGTGTCCTACGTCCTCGTGACTACTACTGCATAGAGTCCTATATATTGGATGTGTCAAACGGAAGACCTTAGTCTTCCAGCATTTCTTCAAGTGTGATATAAGGTGGTTGCCATTATGTTACGCACAATTTATAATTTTATCATTTTATTCATTGCATCGTGGTTTGTGGTGGTTTAATTGGCTGTTCATTGATTTAGTGAGACTTTGTATCAGAGGAAACACGTAAGTGCGGTAATATTTTGCAAATAGTGCGATTCCGCACCTCCCTAAACATTAAAACATTTTTATGTGCGGAAAATGTGGAGACAAATAACAAAGCAATTCTATAGAATTACCCTCATAGAAGGTTTTACAATAAGATGGACAGGATGACTGGGGCTAGTTGAGCTGGTAATGAACATAATTTATTCAATATTATAACTTTACAATATAATATTTCAGCACATTGTGTGTAATGTGTTTACGATAAAGCGATAACATGTGTATAAACTAAAGTGACTCAATTTCAATCTGCTGAGGGATTGAGATCCAACATGACCAGTTATTGATTTACTATTGCTAAGATTCACCCTCTTTTGTTTTTTAATCAAATATCAATAGTTTTAAATGTCAATACACTATCAAGTATCAACTTGCTGCCTGTTAATAAGTTAATAATGATAATGAACTTTCTGCATATATTTTTCCTGATACGGTATGGTTAACTTTTAAGGAGACTTTTTATCCTACGTAATGCTTCATGATGTCGCTTGTTTCTTTTATATTATTGCTGTATTGTTTGTATACTATTTGCGAAAGTTTCAAATCAAATTAAAAAAACTCGACTTACAATCAAACCCAAAATTTCTACACGATCTCTTTATGTAAAACGGATTTGGTGGTTTTTAAATTACCTTCAAATCTTTTGCTTCGTCTTTCAAACACGGTTTTTGATATTTTGTTTAAAGTTTTTGTTCTTCACATTTGTAAGGGTCCATTTATCGAATAAAGGTTCACTTATTTATACGCCGAATATTGTACTTTCCTCGATGATAATTAGCGGAAAAGTGTTGGCATCTCGATAATAAATACCGGCTAATGAAAAAGTAATAACCACCATTAGCTAAAGTTCCATCATTAACTATTTCCCATCGATTATATTCCAGGAAGACTCAAGATCCAGCCATTATAAGATTATAGACCCACAGGTTTATTTTCGTTTCCATAACTACTGACAGTTGCTGACCCTTGGCTATATAATTCATGTCCCTTCTGATTGATTGTAGACCGCATTGTCGTGCAAATTCAAATGTAGTTGATAATGATATAGATTTGACGTTCGGTTTTTCCGAAGCTTATGATCTGTCGGCGAATGCTATAGACCAGTTTATGTGATTTTATTTTTGTAAGAGTCAAAGCAGTTACCCAAACTGATGACAAAAATATGCTTTGCTCATGAGCATTGCAAGCGGGGGGCCAGTGTTCTTGCTTTATTTTTACAAGCAAACTCGTTACTAACTCTTCTTATACCAAGGATTATAACAAAGATCCATTAGTAAATGGACTCGGTTATGTCAACGCCACGAATATGTGAGAGCTGGGTTTATGGTTTTATTTCTATAACAATCTCTATATTTGTGCTACGCAAGGCGCGGTGAAGAGTGAAAGCAGTTACCCAGACCGATGACAAAAATATGCTTTGCTCATGAGCATTGCAAGCGGAGGCCGAGGGCCAGGGTTTCTGCTTTATTTTGGCAAGGAAACCCGTTACTAACTCCTCTTATATACCAAGGATTATAACAAAGACCATTACCCATTAGAAAATGGACTCGGTTATGTCGACGCCACTAATATGTGAGAGCTGGGTTTTTGGCTTTATTTCTAGAATAATCTCTATTATATTTGTGCTACGCAAGGCGCGGTGAATTCTTGAAATATCATTTTTGATTTTACTCCAACTCGATTCTAGCTCTGCTCATACAGCAACCGGTCGGTTCCTACTCTCGTAATCTATCCTAGAATTTCCTAACTAACGACCGCTAATAAACGCGGTAATCAATTAATTGATTTATTCGGATCGAAGTTAATTAATAACTGCCATGTGCCACACCAGAAGCAAGGCGGGAGCAGATGGTTAGAATATCATTAGCTTTACATTAAATCACACGAGAAGGAGTTGCTGTCTCTTAAGGGGGACAGGGGGGGGGGTCTTAATCAAAATTCTCTCGAAAGATCCCCCCCCCCCCCTCGACCCCGGCCCCCTTAAGTCCGAACACTGGAAACTGGGGTGGTAGCAGATGGCTTAGAGATCATCAGCTATATAATCAGCTATATTTAGCTATATAAAGTAATTCTGTGACGTGTGCACAACGCCAGTTCCTTTAAGTCAGAACAAGAACAGGCAGTCCTGATGGAATTAGCTGAGGATCTTTGTACTTTTAAAATGTAATCTGATAACTTGTGTTTATGAAGGAGCAATGGTTAGAGTTCTGCCTTTAGTTCTTTTTCTTTCATTGTCTGGGCATTTCTCACTGTCTAGACTCTTTTTCGTGCACAATTACGGTAAAGCTATTCATTCTAGTACGTAGAAATAAGATATTTACTCTTCAATTTCAGTACAATACTTTTTTATTTATAGAACTTCGTTTCGTTATTTTCTAATGTAGGTGAACATTGAACAATTTAACGATAGACTATTTTTAAGGCTAAGCTCGTAATAGAAATATTTGTTTACACAGGATAAGCGTCCTATTTTAATGATATCGTTTTAATTCTGAGCTAGGACATAATCTAATCACGAGAGAAACAAGCAAACCTCACTTTGGGCATATTGCCAAAGAATACTCCTAAAAAATGCTCAGCTATCATCGAATTAGACATTAAAATCGAATCAGACATTAAAATGAAAGCAGATTAGTAACTATTATTGTAAAATACCATTAAAATGTGCTACCTTTATATTGGCGTGGATAATATCCTCCATATGAAGATACTGCACAGCGCTCAGCACGTCTCTTATTATCGCGGCTGCGTGGTACTCCGAGTAGCTCTCCACGTTCGCTAACCTGCGCAAAGTTATTTTGATTCCTAAATTTAATAGTATATAGCTGACTTTGGCAAGGTAGTGTTGGTTATGTGCCTAACCTGGTGAACACAGTGGATATCCTTGCTGTACGGCTAGTTAAACAAGGAATTGAAATTGTGGGGCTCCGTGCAGACCAACCTAGCTGTGGCTAAAGCTGTAATATACAAAATCAATACATTGCTTATTTTTACTTTTTACTTTTTAGTAATATCATGACGTAGTGATTTATGATCACCACAATGGTTCGCTGTGTTAGCTGGTTAAAGTTGACTTACAGTTGAGCTTAATATTTATTTTAAAAGCCACTTTAACAGTTTAACTACGATTTTATGTGTGATGCGCTGTGATTCCATACCATGCCAAAAATTGCCAAGACCTGATTACTTGGCTACGACTAGAATTAATTCTCTCTCGGCCCAATCTTAACCTTCAATTTACTTAGGGGAGAGATAAAAACTGTTGAATATAGATATCCTACTACAGCTGTGCAACTGTGAACTATATCACCTAGGTGTCATATTTAGTGCACAGTTGTGACTTGATCTTATCAGTTTTCGATGGTGGCTACGTTCTCCAGAAAAATATTTTCTGCAATTCTCAAAATATAGTTTTAATCTTCGGTACTATGCCAAGAAAATTTAGACTCTGCTATAATTATAGTAGGTAAATCTCTTGAATGGTCTGAGGTCGCCAATGACAATAAACTATCACGTAGTACAATACATGTATAACAATTAACACAGGTTATCTATATTATATCGTATCACATAACTCAAGTTTACACTGAGTAGCTAATGGTAGCTGGTGTTGAAGGTTAAGCTCGAGGTATGTAGGTATGTAATATCATGCCAAACATATTTGTACAATTTATTTAAACTTGCATTACTATATTATATAATGAGTCATTGTTGTTTAGTTGAATGGTGCAAAAGGTTCTTAGGACTACGACTGCTAATGTTGGTAGAAACGTTATCACTTATTTGTCCGTTTTACTAATTTCTTAAATTGCTATCAAATTATAACCTAAACCAGACTAGAACGATCAGGGTCCGTTTGTTAGCGTTTAATTCACTTATTGTATAGTCACTTAGTCAGATTGAGTTTAGGTTCCGTCGCGGTATGGCAAAAATGTTCCGAACATTGTTTCCTTTAGTTACCGTTTACTTATCGTTTAGTAGTTCCGTTTAGTGTCAATTGAAATGTTCCCATGCCCATCGCTAGCCCATTCTGTACGAAGCACGTGCTTACTTTACTTTACAGTTAAGTTTTACCGGCATATAAGGTAAGCATATTTTTCTAACCTTTCTTATATATTTCCTTACTAAATTATGTATAAACGTTTAAAACTAAGTTGTGAACGTTTAAAGTTTTAAAGTTTTGTTTAACTAAGTTTAAAACTAAGATATTCACATGATGCTGCCCATCAAATTAAGATAAAAAACCAACCTAGCTTGATCACATGATCAAATACAGATTGAGATAAGAAACCAACCTAGTGAAGAGTTCACCACCAGGAATACTCTCCATAATAACATAAACATTCTCCCTGTCCTCGTATATATCGGTTACTGGACACTGCGGGTGCCGAGTGTTAGTTATATGGTGGTTTAAAATATTTCCTTGTTTAAGAAATAAGTGTTAAAATAAGAATTAGAATTAGAATTAGGACCAAATTTAAAATCAAATTTAGAATAAAATTTAGCATCGAATTTAGAAAGTTAGAATCGAATTAGACATTTGAAATGGAAATCATTTAGAAATAGTTGGTCGCAGATAAAACTACCATTATTACCAACTTCCAACCATTATTTGGTTGCTTTACATCTTGTATTACAACTTGTAGTTGTATTATATGTGTATGACAACTTGACATTTGTATTTAATTCAAGTTCCCTTGCTGTATAATTCTGTATTATTTGATGAAAGTCTCAAATCAAATCATGGCCCTCTTATTCACGTGACTTACAATATTAGGATGTCTCACTCTGGATATCGTTCTTGCCATCTCCTCTGCGCTGGACAAGTCGTTTCCTTGTAGATAACTCTGAAATATTTTATTGAAGTTTTAACAATATGCTTACATTTTACCTATCATCCGGATGGTTTACTGAAACATTTAATGAATTGCCGTTTAAGTAATTTTACCTGCTTGCACGATTAGGGATGTTTATCATATATATTTTACATACAATTTATTGGCGTTATATAAGTATATAGTAGCACTTTACCCCTCACTATTAGTCGCTTGGCTGTGGCGGAGTCTAACAAGTGACTAGGTGAGCGGGCGGGCCGCAGCACTCTTGTTGTCGGAACCTATCTACAGTAACAACTATCTGTTTGGTCTACTGAGAAACCTATTTTGGTAGATCCATTGACACTCAAAAACTATGATGACATAGTATCTTGCTGTCCTGCATTGTCAAATTTTAAGTTATGTAGTAGCATATTATAATTATATCATTCATACTACATTATTACATATTTATTATTCGTTTTTGCTAATGTTGACGGGAACAAAGCTAGCTGGCTTGATCTTTGAGCGACAAAATTATCCCGATAATGCTAAAATATTCTTTATACATTTAATATAATATGTTTGTAGTTACAATTCCACCGTGACGGACACCACGATTATGCCATTTTTTAAAGTTCAAACGAATGTTGTGCTCAGGATGTTGCTTCTTTATCAGCTTAAACTATTTATTAGTCCACATTTAACCTTTCTATAGGTTGTGTGAAAATTTCAGACCCCTACCATTATTACTTTCTGAGATAGCACCCCTGTGACGGACGCGACTTAAATATGACACTTTTTTTGGGTGTCTACTCAGAAGGTACCCAAATCTATCTCAAAACGTTATCTATTATCTCTAATTTGGACATGCAGTGATAGAAAAAGGTTTAGGGATTTCTGAGATACCATTTTTTTGGAGATTGCTCAGTTTTTGTTCGCGTGGCGCCATTTTCAAATTGTGACGGACGTGACTGTGACGGACACACGTTTTTTTCAATTTCTCCAAATCTTCTATTTGACACTTTTATCTTGTTCAGTGACCTTCATTCTATATTTATGCCAATTTTTAGGCCGCTAGTACTTCCACGAGGTCTGCAATAGCCAAAATCGTCCATTTTGGGCATACGCGAGGGTATCAATCTAGGGGCAGCAATTATTTCTCTACTTGAACAAATTTATAACTCTGGTAAAACATTCATCTCTGTTCAACACATCAGACTGTTGAGACCATCTCCCAAAAGTTTCATTACTTTAGTGTTTAAAATGTGGAAGATATTGAATTTTTACTTCAAAAATATGCGAAAATAGGGTAAAGTCCATTTTTTGTGCCTTTTACCCCTGAAAAAGGTTAAGGCAAATAAAATGGCAAAACTCAGTAAATTTAATTATTGAATTGCATATGATGTTATTTGATAGTCTAGTCAACATAGTCAAACCTTATTTGACTTCAATTTGTCTTGGTTTTAGTCAAAATAATGGAAATATGGATAAAAATGGCTAAAAGTGAGCCGTACGCCCATATCTCCATATATGGGCATATACAAAATTATACATAACTCAGTCATTTTCTGTCCAATTTTCGATTTGACAACATCGTTTTGTTAAGAACGGTCTCAGCTTTAACAAAAATGCATTTAAAGTCTGTTAAAAGATTTTTTGGAGCATTTTCAAAAAAATGTGACGGACGCGACAAGTTGGGACCCCCCTTCCAAACATTTTTTCTTAAAAGATACAAGCCTGATAATTTCTACGGTACTCCCTTACCTTCAGAAGAGATAGGTTATAGTGGTTTTTTGAATATAAATAGCACTATGTGGCTCTGAAAAAACTTTTTTGCTTAATTTTGTGACGGACGCGACACCATCTTTGTGGAAATTTTTTAGAAAAATTATTTGAGTAACGGTTTTGAAACTTTGCATGGCTCTCATTCTTATGCCTATGCTTAAGTGTATGAATTTTCATAGAGAAATATTCCTGCATACCCAAACTATGGCCCTTTGAAAATTTGAATGATTTTTTTCATTTCCGAGTAGTGTTCCTTTGAATGAGAAAAATCAAAAGTTAATGCAATATGAAACAAAAAACTTTTGTTGACCTGTAAGGTTAAGAGTCTAATGAAAATATTTTAACCAAAATTAGGTGCCTATCTTAACATTTTTCATTTTCACCAAGTGGAACCTTACCGTGGACCTTCCGTATATTAAAATAATTTAATTTTAATGGTGGTAAACCACCATTAAAATTAAATTATTTTACGGAATATAATAAACCGTACTAATCGTTCGAACATCCTGAGGCTTTTCTCAGGATCGCAGGTCACGTGGTCGCCATGGTCACGTGATTGCCATGGTCACGTGGTCACCATGTGACAGCTGTTTTCAAGGTCACATGACACACGACGCAATGCTCCCCTTACACAGAACAAATGCTCAATGCGAGTGTTCCTATGGTATCGATCGTACGTTTTAATAATAATATTGGGAGGGAACTCCACTGCTATAATCACGTTTACTTTTCCTCACTACAACATTTTATCACTGACGGTCCAGATTTGCAGCAAAACTTTAAAGTCGGCTCGAAATACTTATTGCTCTGTAACCAAGCAAATGATAAACGTGACTAATTAGAACATTTAGGGCAGTGGGAACGTGACATGAAACCGCTATAGTCTAGAGGCAGGAAGTGTTTAATTTTCCTGTCGACAAGTCTTGAAAATTACATTGAATATGTATTACTAATTATTACTTCAACATATTTCCTCGACATTTCGTGCTACACTCCGTTTGGGTACATTTGACTTATACTAGGTGGGGAATACTGTTTAAATGTTCGATTTTTCAACCCTGTCTTATTTTCAGCTTGATACTGATAGAATTTGTGAATTTGGATGGATCATCTAGAGTTCGTGATTTGATTGTCTATTTAAAGTCGTCGTATTAACCTTATAAACTGAACAATTACTACTGTGTCACTTGATTTTGAAGGACGATGCTATCTTGAGAATGTATCAGGGGCGTGCCCCTGGAATGTATCATCATATAATTCGTCATCTAGGAACGTAATCAGGGACTAGAAACCGAGATTTATACACTATACATGTACATTATACATTATACATTATACATTATACAGGCGACACAGTTTCAGTATCACTCGTGTAATTAACCATTACAGTGCTTGAAACAGCGACGGAAACAGTTGTTTTCCAGTTACTTGCCTTGTTTCATTTTGTCTACGTGTGATAAGTCTGTCTTGTCTAAGTCTACAAAGCTGCCATATAGCCTGACTGACAATTTTCTCGACTGACTGACAATGTTTCTTCTTTTCCCCATTTAGAATACAAAGATTAGTACATTTTAGCTTATGATTAATATTATATTTTTACCTATAGTTTACCTAGATTGTATATCCATTATATATCACAATGTTACCAACTCACAATGTTACCAACTCACAATGCTACCAACTCACAATGTTACCAACTCACAATGTTACCAACTCACAATGCTACCAACTCACAATGTTACCAACTCACAATGTTACCAACTCACAATGCTACCAACTCACGTGGTGACGCTAACATTCACCCAGAAACCACTGATACCATCGCTGCCATACTATCTTACTATATAGTACTACCCTACTATCATAGAATAACAAAGAACATCCTATATGGGCCTCCCCCAGCCTCGGATCTTAGGATTGGATTTGCAAAAATTCATAAGACAAACTGCTTAAGAAAAGCTAAGACTGCAAAAAAAGCTGAGACAAAATTTAAGCGAACCTGAGATGTCAAAATAACCTAAGACAGCGAAAAAACCTGAGACAAAATTTAAGAAATCCCGAGACAGCGAAAAAACCTGAGACAAAATTTAAGAAATCCCAAGACAGCGAAAAAACCTGAGACAAAATTTAAGAAATCCTGAGACGCGCGAAAAAACCTAAGACAAAATTTAAGAAATCCCGAGACAGCGAAAAATCCTGAGACAAAATATAAGAAAACCTGAGACAGCGACAAATCCTGAGACAAAATTTAAGAAAACCTGAGACAGCGAAAAATATTTAGATAGAATTTATACAATAACCACAAGAATATACAATATGGATATTACATCTTTTTATTTCTTTCAAAGAATATAATAAATACAATATTACTAGGTATAGTAGGAATGTCAATAAGTCAATAGAATTTGTCTAAAATCTCTATGTGCCTGCTAATGAAGTGAGTATCCTAGATCATATCTTTACAGGTAGGACTGTATAATGGGGGCCCCGATGTTATAGCGGACATCATCCCCCTCCCTCCTTATGCCCCTTCTGAAAAGCTACGAAGTTAACTTTCTAATAAGTTACAACGACAACTAGTCTCTCGTTTTACTCCCTACTGTACTGGATTACTCGTCAATCCAGGTATATGAGTTTGAATCCCAGTGTCACCTAGTCTAGGGAGTAACTAAGGATCCATTGGATCTATGCGATCTCCTCGGTCGACTCAGCCGAATGATAGGAAACTTAATTGAGGGTTAAATGAGGATGGGTACCTGTTAAAAGTTCAAGAAACTTCCTAGGATACCCCTTCAGTGCATACTGTAAACATAGTGCTATTAACTATTAACTATGAGTATATGTGAGAATGATCCTGAAACTCTTAAGATATATTATAGTCTAGTTGGGTTTTCCATATAAGCACAGTAGTGTACACAATCTTTGTATTTGGGCATATTTCAAAACTGGTTCCACTTGGAGGAAATTTCAGAAATGCTTTTATCAATCCAATTTTGGAAATTTTAGAATGTTTGAACTTTATACTTTGAAAATCTGCAATATTGGAGACATCAATCTACTCTATCATGCAAAAATAGCTCATTCTATCATCGACACTAAAACAATCCTCAAAAGTGTGCTCTACTTCATAACGTCTCTAGATTAGGCCTTTACTTGAACTAAACCCAAATTTTGTGTGTTAGTATATGAGATTTCATTTTTACAGACTGATATAAAGCCCAATCAAGGAGAAAGAGCTAACATGG